CATTAGTTGACGCAATTGTTAATTTGTAACGAAACGAACATATCTACTGCATCATCATCTACCACCTAATCTGATTGCATCTGCCATATGTAAAGTACTTATTCGAATCACTTCAACCCGACGGACAGAACACTTAACGAAGGACAGCCATTTAAGCAACCAGGGTTTCGAAAGGGCTTCAGCAAGACAACTTGCCTTCCTGATAACTTAACTCGAAGTGTCGCAAGACTCCGAAAGACCATACTTTCTCATTTTCAATGACCCACAAGTGTACCTCGACTCAATTGATAGAGAAGCGCTCATGGAAGATTTGGACAAGCACGGCGCCCCTGTTCAGCGCAAAAGTGCTCTGCAGGAGCTAAATAACAACATCATAAATGGTATTTAATTTCATGCAATCGGAACTTTTACAGCGACGTTATCATTGACGTATAGAGGTGTCGATTATACATTGATTCGCTATCTCGTCAAAAACACCTTTGTTCGCTCCCGAAAACATTCTGCAAAAAGCAAAATAGGATAGCCTAAAAGACAGAAACGATCGGTAGAAGGTACCATGTCGAAGTTTTGTTGATGATGTTGTTCGCATAGGATGCGTATATGCAGTGGTTAGAGGTGCCTCATAATACACATAAAGTGGTTCGGTCTGTCCCGTTTCGCTAATAAACCCCTCATCCTTCTAGGGTTAGCAGTATTGGCACCAGACTTGTATGTGATAAGAAATCTTTATAACTAGGATGTCTTGGACAGGATAAAAAGCACTGACTTAATACATTAGTAGACCATCAACGGTATAGTACAGGCTAATTATATATTCAATCACCTATGATGTGCTTGATGAAGTCGAATGTGTGACGCGTCGTTGAGAGATATAGCACCACTGAAAGCCTTATCGTTTTTTTATTAAGCGTATAACATCACATGTTAGCTAGATTGAGCAAATACTAGCAAACTTCGAACAATGTTTGCAGAAAAAATAATTTTAGGGTAGATTCCAAGAAAACGACGTTTTTAACAAACGAATTCCTTGCCTCCTCAACGAAAACTCCAACTCCGACAACTCCTCAGCCAAGTTCCATGGAATAGTTCTTCGCATGACTGGCATCATAAATAGTCGTACCGTCTTGGTCAGTTCGATAACATGTCGCTTGATCCTCTTATCTTGCCTCATCGTCATATCTCCAATGGAGATCTCCCGATTCCTAGATTGCAAGTGCAGTGGCCCTTATCCAACGGAGACTTTGAGATCTGGTACGTTACCCTTCGAAGAGAAAACTATGGTATAAAACAAGTTTTATACAAGCAGCGGTTTTGTACTCTTCCACTGGAGTCTCCTCTTTATCAAAATTATAATCTGCGTTCAATTTGTAACATCGATCCTATAGGAAATTTGTGAAAGCATTTCTTGTAGCCTTTCTTTTTTCTTGGACATCGTATTTTGATCCTTTTTTCGCGTGATACATTACGTACTCACTGTCCTGCTCAATAAATTCGCTGCACAAGCTCCCCTTCACTCGAATTCTAGCCTAGTCCTTAAGTCATAAATTTGCTCACTACTAACCCAACTTTGTTGGTAATTTATTCTCAGTATAAATATTTACCTACCAACAATTGACCGCTTAACCGTGACAGGGATGTTCCTTGTGTTGAATTGCGATGTACAGCTGTAAGTTCATTCCCCAACAACGTTACCCGAATTAGTTAAGTAGTTAAGAGTGAAATAGTGTTAGAAATTGTTGCAATCCTGACAACAAGCACGCAGTGGCTCTAACTGGCGCCGATCTAAGGAAAGCCTGCTAGAACTTTCAAGACACAAGGAAATGAAAATCTTGTACCATTATCAAATTAACGAGCAATTAGAAATTGCAAGAGCGGCTTTCTTTTAAATTCGGCATTAAACTGGAAGACTTGCAAGCAACAGGATGGTGTGTACCTTGTTTCACCGATAAGCCAACACGAGGTTGTTACTAAACATTTATTTGGCTGACGTTTCGACGTCTTCGTCTTCATTAAAGCCGCTAATCCAAGTCGATCGTTTACAGTCCTTAGATCTTTCGATGTAGTGTCTTCCTCAATATATTGAGCCGAATCTTCTTCCTTGGGTGACCCCTAGAATGAAGCAACATTATCCGCAAGCGCTCTTTTATACAGGACGGCTGTTGTTTATAATGATTGTCCATTGATAATAGATTGTTTTTCAACCGACAATCGCCTTTAATCAAAGGCTCTGATGAAGACGAAAACGTCGAAACGTTAGCCGAGTAGACTTCTTTATCACCCTCGTGTTAGCTTATCAACCCCTGATGGTGTTGATTACTGTTATCGAAGTTAAATAACGGTCGCTTTGAAAAAAAAAACGTGTTTACGCATTTAGTTTTATCTGCTGAGGTTAGGAAAGCGTTTGATCGACTCGATTGTGTGACAATCTGATCGTTCCATGCTCTGAGGATGGCGAGACAGCTGAAACGTATTGAAAAAGGTACCGAAAAACCTATTGTGAATGAATAACTGTAATAAAGCTCGTGTTTGCCTACCAAGAAACCAGTGAGACTGTTGGAATTGTCATGCCACACGATCCTTCGTGATTCATACAAACGTCTAAATATTTGAGTATGGACGTTTAATTATACAAATGTGATGCCGGTTGCTGCTGATCTTGTGCAGAAGCCTCAAATGGCTGCACTCATGAGAAACGGCACTGCTTCTGTTCGTTGCAATACTTTCTCCATTCCAGCTTTTCCATATCGCTTATTAGTCCCTTATTATGGCCGGAAATGTTGAAAACTTCGTTTTCACTTAGCACGAGTAATTATGCAACCCCGCATTCACGAGGCCTTCCTTTTGAATAACTTCTTGTGGTTCCTGCACTTTTCTTTCATCTCTATAAGATCAGCAAGAATAAGCCGCATTGTCTGCCATGTGAGGATGTGGGTTCAGTTTCCTTCTCGATAGGAATCAAGTTCGAGACGGTGATGATGGTGCAGTCTGAATGTTTTCACTGAAGAACTGCTTCATACTGGGCATTCTTCCTATTCTTTGGTCTGTTCCTACTTAGTGCTTGGTCACATTTTTCCTGGACAAAAAGAACCTCTCAGCGTTGATTAATCGCTTTAGGGACACGCCATGCATTCGACTTCATTAAGCATCTTTTGGAGGTGACCGAATGCACATCTGACCTCTACAATGACTCGCATTGGCCTACCGATGTATCGAACCAGTGCTGCTATCCTCCCGAACAAACCTAGGATCGATTCCACGTGTGCGTCGCAGTGGCGCCTCCAACCACTGCGCCACATTCGCTTTCACGGTATGGTATTACGTGAAATACAACCACAACGGTGGTGAGATATAAGCAGAACCCGGAACCCTACTTGGGCTTCAAACCCATGATTACCCTTTTTGGGCGCTCACATGTTGTTCATTACGCCACCGAAGCCCTTGCTTTGCCATTTTCTCATCCTGCTTTTTACGCTAACAGTGATATCAGCAGTGACCCATCAACGGAATGCTACCGATTCGAAACTAACTTGGGGTTCCAAGTTTCTCTCATCCCTCATCGTGGTAATAGAGACATAGTCAAACAGGTTTGAGAAATCAAAAGCGACGCTATCCAAGCTGCACTACTTTGATTAGAAATTCTCCGCATGAATATCGCTGTTATCGTTGGAAAACAAAGTGTTCAGAATGTAAATCTCATTTGGCCCATCAAACTGATGTATGTGCTTCAACACAGTTTCCAAGTGTTTAGAGATAAGTAGGCACCAAGGAGGAGGCCGACGGAAAGCAAAGTGGTGAGACTTTTAATGCTATCCAAATTTAAATTTAATAAAAATAATAATAATTTAATAATAAATAAATAATAAAATTTGACATAAACAGATCTATTGTAAGGGCTAAGCTGGAAATACACAGTTGCAGATTAATTGCAGAAATGCATGGTCAATTAATAATCATTTTTACTGTAATATGTAGTAAATGGAGCCGATTTTAAGAAGGCAGATCTTACACATACTTATGCACTTCCATCAACATATTTTAAGCTATAGGAACTTAAGCCCGTTTTGAATCCTTAGTACTATAGAAACTACTGATCAAACACCGCATCTGTAACTGCACCTATATGACTGTTTCCTTCTTCGTCTACGTCGAGACAACGCCAGTGAGTCGAAGAAGCTGATTCGCATAGCTGGAGTTTGATTCGTCAAGTAGTTTCTGATCGTGCTGTGTTCTATCGCTTGCACACGCTTTATTGTTTGCAACAAAATAATCCATCCAAGAAATCCATAGTTTATTTCTCCAGAAAGAATCCTGGCACTGTTTTTTATTGACGAAATTCCTAATCTAGCAAACAAATTTACTCTATCTCATTGGTTTATCTTATGAATTTATGGAAAAGAAACTATGGCACCAATGTTCACCAACTATACAAATTCCTGTGCTGTTTCGAGGAGCTTGTCTCTACAATGATGGCCTTTTTGAATATAGTCCTAATGTTCTTTCAATTCCATATTCTAACTCGACTAATGTATAACATTTTAGAAGAGTAATAGTATTTCATTAGAGTAAGATCAATTCCGAGAACACTGAATTCGATAACAATACGAAAACCTAAGGATGCAAGAAGAATCTCGATGTTTGTGTTCACGATGACGGCGCAATCGGATTCAGCCACCACTGCTCCTATAAAAAAACGAATTTGCAGGGGTGCATGAAGGCCTAAAGCGTTCAGTGTCCATCAAACTCTGAAGGATTTACCATGCATCCGTCTCTATTCGCAGCGTCGTAGGAGTGACTGGATATATAGTTGGCCTATAGAATGAGATTGTGGCTGCCTATTAATGGATCAAGTCGCAGTGGTCTGCTAGCAATTTCCTGACCCCAGACGGATGAAAGTCTTGGTAAGCTTGGAGGTGGGATCAAATAAACGACCATACGTAATGTATTTCAGAACACCGTTAACCACTGCGCTACAAGTGCATAAAAAGAAAGAAAAAATAAACCTACGTTGATAGTGTAGAACACAATATAAGACCAACGATACTTTCCACAATTACCAGTATACCGCTTATACCGACAATAATTGCTTCAATCAGTAAAACTGAAATACATACGTCTTCAAGTAACCCGAAGAAAAACGACAATGCTAACACATTGGCGATGACATCTTGTTTTCATCGGCAGCTGCAAATTTCTCGACAACTGAGGAGTTGAGGGCTTGACATAATTGTATAAGAGGCTGCCTACTATCGCCCTACAAACAGACCTTCCAATTTTCTAATAGATTCCAACAGCTTTTCTGAATTGCCACCATATTTCTAAATTTGTTTAGAACTGAAATCATAAACGGATTTCAAAGGAATGTGAAATTTTCGGATCACCCAGTCCCATCAGACCGACCCGTTAGCCATCTGTTGTGAATCACCACCACGTCCTCCTCTAAGAAATCCTGTTTGCTAAATCACTACGCTGTGCGAGACACGAATCTCGACAAGAAAATAAGAAAATAATCTAAGGATCTAAGTTTATCGGCTGCGATAAATCAGAATCGTGGTAAAGTAATGAAGCTTGCATCTTGTAAGGGAAATGTCTGCAACCTCTAACAGATTTTATTCAAAGCAATAAAATAGATTATGAGCAGAAACATGATTGTTAAAAAAAACTTCTGGGTATACATGAACCATATGTGACGCATGCCGCCGCCAATGTGTAGAGGAACTCATCGTACTTCCGTAATCTCACCGTAATTTTGAAATGCCGCCAAATAGATGTGAATCATAAGCACTGGAATGTTTAAAAGTAATGAGAATGCCAAGAATGCTGGCGTTTCTGTCAGATTGCCACGAATTCCTGAAAAGACTGACCACTTGCATTGCCAAGTCGTAACAAAAATTGACTATATGAATAATCAGATTAGTTTAACACTTAGATTCAGACGCCTAAACCCGTGTTGCTGACCCACTTATTTGGCGCAATATTTTTCGATGCATTCGTTATGAATTATTGTTAACTCGTTCATATGTGGAAGTCACTGACGCCGGACTGGAATTGTTGAATTTGCCTGATGTGATAAGCCTTGCCTGATATACTTGATTTTTACTTGCGTGATATTAAGCCTTCTCTGAAAAGGCTTTGTTTAAAACGGTTTAACCTGGACACTGTTCTTTATTTAAAGCCAAAATTAGTTAGCATTTTCGCTACAAATGACCTCTATGGCACTCATTTCAAAGTTGCTGGAGTGGGCCGTATGAACTTCATACAGGTTTCATTTTCTTTCCAGTGGTTTATTTTAACACAAAAACGAGTTCAGAAAATTCTTGCTACCAACTAGTAGCTTGTAGGAGAGCGTTCGGCGTTGGTCGGGGAAAAACTCTATTCTGGACTTGGAAGTATACAAAAAACCATCTTCCGAACAAGTTTAGTAACAGGAAATTTTGTTGTTAATCGACTGCTCTTTCAATTCCAATTGCTATACTGAAGCGCACTTATCGTATGAAGGGTGAGGTAATAAAAAGTGCTGGAATAGAAATCCATAAGTGCAGAACACTTTCAAATGTTAGTAGTGAAGTGTATGGATGACGGACCATGGTAATATGTAGTAAATAGTATCACATATATCACTCATGCCGATAGAACGATAGGGAAAAGCCTCTTCTACAATAACAACTCTCCAAGGCCACTAGCTATCGAAAGAAATACTGTTTATTGTCAAAGAGGCAGTAAGCCCGTAAAGGCCGGAAATTGTGGGCCCTCTGTTGAGGGAGAAAAGCTAAATTAGGCGTCGTTTCGAGAGCAGTAAGTATCAGCAAAGAAGAAAATGGTTCTAGTGATGATTTCACTAGTTAAATAACTCAAAATTGAACTACAACCACAACGTTGCTGAGATATTTGCAAAACTCTGGACCGCAGGTGTTTATGGTGGGAACGAACGCGCTACTGTCCTTTCCGGGGAGTAACGCGTTCACCACCGCACCATGCGGGTCCTTTGTTTCGCCTGTCTTTCAGCTATTTCTATCGATCTTTGCCACAGCAGTCACCCGTCAGCGGGATCGAGATTTCACAATGTATACCCTGCCGTTAAAAAGAGTAGGAAATAAATAATAAGTTAAAATTGTGATCATAACTGCGGCCTCAGCTTAACTGGGTTCGTTGCCGATTTGGGCCCCCAGATCAATCCCGCTGACGGGTCTCTCAGCTATTCCTATCGATCTTTGCCACAGCAATCACCCGTCAGCGGGATTGATCTGGGCTCAAGTCGCAGATCAATGGTTGTATTTCGCTTAGCACCGTGCCGCGAAATTATAGTAGGCAGAAAATAAAAAGGTATAAGATCAAAATTGAACGTTAATTTGAAGAAGTGCCCGAGAAATGCGATTCTATCTAGACTAAATAAAAGCGTGCAGGTCAGAGACCACGTTGCAGCTTCGTATAGTAACGAAGCCAAAGTGGACCATGGGCTCTTAGAGAATTTTGAAGCGTACCGTACCCCACGATAGTCGAATTGCTTCAATAGGAGCGAAAACAAGGATGATCAATAGCTCTAGAACTCGCACATGATACTGGTATGGCAGAACCGAACCTAAAATACAAACTCTATTCATTGTTACAATTTTTCACTTCAGCAGAGATTTCTTGCAACATGTGTTAAGAACAAACTTAGGCAACAAATGCACTTATGTAACAATTCTCATCAAGCGTTTTATAATATCATATTCATGTCGTGGATGCTTCACGGTTCGAAACTGTTACATTTCGAATGGAATTTATTCTACTGTGTGTTAATGAAAGTTGAACGTTTAACTATCAATCTCAATACAACTAACGGTGATAGTTTTCTACCATCACTGTAGACTTCATGTTAATCTAAACGTATGGAAACAACTCTCTCTCTCTCACTCTCTCTTTCTCTCTCTCTCTCTTTCTCTCTCTCCCTGTCCCCAGTTTACAATGGTCGGCCATAACTTTTACAGGAAACTGTGGAGCGCAGTAACATGACAATCTTCAGGATTCTTGGTGAAGAAGAAAATTCTCCCGCCCAAAAAACATCCTTGTAGTTGAAGTTGCGTGCGGAACGACATTACGCGTGAGAACGGATCAAGCAATTATTCAACTAAATTTTTTTGCATGCGAGTGTCAAATGTCACAAGCTGATCATTGATGGACGAAGTACAAACTTTCACATGCCTCTTTTTTTTGTCATCTGATTGAAATACTATGGATTCAAATCCAATTAGACAAAGAGATGCATGAAGTGCAGTGGTTAGAGGTAGGTTGCAATAGAGTTGGAGAAATCAAGGCACACGACGTCTTTGGTTTGACCACATACCTATTGAAAACCAGGCCACACATAATTCCGGGGGTCGGTAAATTGGGGCCAGCTGAGTCTAGTAAGGTAGAAATTTTGATACACAGCTAGGGCACCGCAGGTCATTGTGTATGCCACACATGCATTTGGTCAATCACCTCTAAGATCCTATGAATGGAAATGAATGCATGCGTGCCGAATTGATTGAGATTGATTTATTCAGGGAATGACCAGCATCGAAAACGCCATCTATGATAAAGCTCAATAAATAACTCTAACTCAATTCTGAGAAAGGAGCAGGCATTCTGACAGCCACGGTCCTTTAATGTGGTTTCGACGACAATGTATGCTCGATTTACATTTACAGAGTTTTTCTTCTTGTTTCCATATTTTCCAACGATGAGTGGCATTAAAATGTGCGATATTTTCAATGATAAATATGTAAACTAATATGCCGCAACTCTAAGATTTATTCTAGACAGTTCCTCAATTCAGTTTGAGGTTTTGTGACTACTATACTTGTTCGAGATTACCTGCTTGGATACTTGGATGGCGCGCCCTCGCGGGTTGTGCGGGCCTCAGTATAGTCTCCATTTTTTGGACCTTTGCTGGTTTATCTATTGTGGTTCTCTGGATCCCGGGGTCACAAAGGCCAAACACTGCCTTAGGTCTTCACCGCCACAGGAATTCACAGCCTTTGTGGATCAAAAGAAGATTTGCCACCATGTGACTAGTTTGATACTATGGCGGTGGTGGACCTTGATATTGGTTTACTCTTAGCTGGGCTTCCTGATGGAAACGCCCGACTCCTCGTCAGCTTGGGATGCACTGCTGGTGGATGAATCCCCCTGTTGTACATCGCAGTCCGGCACCCTGGATCACCTCCCAACCACGATGAGACGGTAAACAGCTGGGAGGTGGTTTGACATTAAACAGAAATAAATTTATTAATAAGTAATACCAGATATACCTTTATAAATGTAGATAGAAATGAGAGCAAAAAAGAAAATAACTGAATATACACGATGGCTATGCAACAGTAGTTGATATGTCAACGATGATCTCTGCAAAAAGAGCATTCACGAGTAAAGAAAGCTAATATATTTGAAACAAATGAAGCCAGTAAACATAAACACGACTAAATATCACATGGAAATTTAAACTAACCACATTAGATGTCATGACTTGCTCAGATCTTGGGTTTTTGATGGGTCGTTGTTGGTATGCAGGGTCGCCTAGCAACGCAAACCGCGGGGAGTCTCAACGCGATGGTAACCGAAATGCCAAGTGGACTTATTATCTTTTATGAATTGCTGTTGTAACTATGTTTATTTCAGGCTATTTTTGTTTTTATTACCCGTAATTATTACGTTTCAACATAAATGTTGTTAGTTGGTATTCGATTTAAAGACAGTTTGCGATGACAATGCCGTTTTATTAATATTCTATGACCCAACATTCCATATTTTACGAACACCAGCAGTTTTTCCACTTTGGTTGAGTCGATCGTCGTTGGAGCACTGCGACTGTACGTGCAGCCGGGCTACCGAGTCTCTTGATCTTCGCCACAGACGCTAACCTGTGGAACGGAGGAGACGACTCCCAGAAAAATTTGGTACCACTCTCCCAAATCCGAAAATGAGGTACGCTAGATGGTACAGCGTGTGTTCGATCTCGCGGTCTAGCGCGTATTATTAAATGACATCTCTACCACTGCGTCACCCGTACCGCAACAGTCGTTCGTTGTGAAAATTGTTCACATCACATACCGAACACATAACAGACGGTGCTGGCTTCCCGATGATAATTCTTGATGATTTTTCGATAACCGAAGTGGCTAAGGTGTTGAGCACTTCACAGACCCATACGACAGACTTTATCGCACTAATGGTGTCCATAATTTTTCCAAGGAGTTATTTTAATCTTAAGCTCTACGTAAAGTTAACATTTGCAATATACGAAAACGTTTTTCACAATTCACATGCTGATGTCCCCACTTGCTTTTTCTTGTTCCTATGCATTCGAGGAAATACTGAAGTGTTTTTACAAAATTATAAACAAAAAGTCCTAGCAGAAGTAATGAAAAAAGGATACAGTTTTAATTCTGAGCACGAAAGCGTTTCAAGAAGCGATAATACGTCTATTACAATCTGTTTTCGTGATATTCTAATCATTTATACACACTTACATTAATTAGCGGTGAGGTTGGCAGTCATTTTACCGATGAGTGACTCGGAAGAAGACGACCTTGGATTTGTGCCGGTGGGGTTCAGTATGTTTTCTCTCGATTAAGAATTCCGAAATATTTTTGTATAGCGATATTTTGCAAGAGTATGAAGAAATATGGAGATCGACCTTAACCTTAATCAATTTTCTTAACAAACTCGCAAAAGGGACGGAGATAAGCTTTTTGGTGTTCCTGTACTGTTGTTGTTTTCACTTTTCCCACAAGGGGAACATCAAATGTGAATGAA